AAGAAATAGAAGTAAAGAAAATAAAAAATACGAAAAATCAAAGAAAAGAAAAGAGAATAAGGAAATGAAGTATAAAACTAAAATGTAACATAATAGATTGGTTTGCCTTTTAAAAACTACTGAAAAACGAATTTGTCAAATCCTACTTTTTACATGATCTAAAAAGCTATCTATTAATATAAAATACAGTATATAAAAAGATATAACTAATATGTCTAATATATCATATATGTCAAATATGTCTGATATATCATATATGTTGAATCTGTCTAATATATCCTATCTGTAGATCTTGTCAGATATGTCAGAAATATCAGATATGTTAGATTTGTCAGATTTGTCAATCATCTGCATCATGTAAATCTTATCATATTTCAATACCTTTATTTCAACTAGTCTAAACACCCTATGAATATGAGCAAGTTGGTTAATTAAATTTATTATTATAGAACTATCATTATAGTAAGCTTTACATTCTTTACTATTAGACATAATAATAGCAAATGTAAATATAACTAAGTTTTTCGAATAACGAAAATATCCTATATAAAACTTTCTTTTGGTATCTTATTTTAGAATCTTCACTTATAATAATAACAATATAGTTATTTCTTATACTTATTTCATCATTTGTTTTTCTAACTAATGCTTGATCAATGTCTTATTATTTTGCATTTTGTCTCACTTTGGCTGTTTCTTTTATACGTTTACTTTTTTTTGATATTTTATATTAGAACGTTGTTATTTAGAAGTTAGTTAAAATAATTCAGAATCAGATTATTCTATTTCATCAATTTGTTCATCTTTAATATTTCAGTACTTACTAGAAGATTCAGTGATATTTTTTCCCTTTGAAGTTTTAGTATAACTGTTTATTTTATTTAAACTAAAAGTATTGATCAAAGTTTAATTACTAATCAAAGATTAATAAATCAAATTAAGTAAATTTATTTTAAAGTTTGTGTAATAACTAAAGATGGGCACCATAATTAAGAAGTTGCAACTCGGTAAGTTGCAACTTGATTGCAACTCCTTGTAAATTTATTTTAATATAAAAATTCATAACTAGTTAAAAATTTTAAAAATAATTATGGGAACTATCTTTAGTAATAACTTTATATAGTATTTATTTAATATTAATATAAAAATTTGTTATACATTATTTTTATAAAAAAAAAATTACATTTAATAAAAATAATTACATATATAAAAAAATTTTTTAATTTACTATTTAATGGATAAAAATATTATATTGTATAAATATTAACTCTAAATAATTAAAAATAATTCTAAAAAAAGATTGATTTGATTTAACTTTCAACTCAAATTATAAAACATATAACTCAAGTCTATAAAAAATAACTTGAGTTAGAAATTAACTCAAATTTACTCGAGTTACATGAGTGTAAGGAATGTGAGTCTAATTTCTAGCTTGAAGATTAGGTTTAATGAAATTAATATTTTTAATATTAGTTGAAAATATTTGTAATTCAGTTACATATCTTATTATGGATTCTCCTATAAGTAGAAAAAAGTTATTCATTCTATTTATTTAATCTATGAAAAATAAGTAGATTCCTATTGGAAAAATCATATCAAAAAATATTTTGATTAACTTGATCATAAAGAATTTAACAATATAACTTATTCAAACTATTTTGAAGTAATATAATACATCTTTTAACAAAAAGGCAACATATTTACATTATCAATTGGATAATTATATAATAAAAAGAATCATTTCAAAATTAGTCAGGTTTTATTATTTAAAGTTGCAAAATGGTAAATTATATTTTTATCAAAAACTTTACTTGAAATTCCTTGTCAATGTGAAAAAGAAATACTTGAAAACTTTTAACTTATTGAAAACATTAGTTGCATCATTATTCAGAATTATATGAAATAATGCATCAAGTAACTCAAGAATATTTGTGAACTTAACAATTTTTAATATTTTTAATATTTGATGAAATTTCAATGGTTTCTGCAAAACATTTTAGTTTTATTTCTGATATGTTTTTAATTATTTAGCAACAAACAATAGCATTTAGTGGAATATATATAATTGTTGTAGATGATTTAGCATAATTATCTCTAGTTTCTAAATTACTGATATATAAATATTTAGAATAGTAATTATTTTATCCTTTATTTCTAAGCTAACTGCAAAGACAAATTCAAGATTTGCAATACTATAATGCATTATAAGAAATTAGATTAAATGAAATGTCTTTAACCACATGAAATCTTTTATATCAAAAAGCTAGAAGTTTGGATCATCAACAACTACTTGACATTACACTTAATACTACAAATATTATTGAATATAAATAAACTGCTGATCAAATTAATCGTCTTATTTGTAATATGCTTCTAGTGAATGAAAACAAATTTTTGATTAGCATAACCATTGATTTCATTAATATACAACAATATGATTCTGATGATTTCCAAAAATTATTTAAAATGAAGACCAATCTACCAAGTCATTTATGTTTACAATAAGATGGCATGTAATGTATCTTAAAAATGATTTGATTCAACAAAATATTTGTAATAGAACTATTGGAATTGTAATCAATATTAATCTGAATCTTTAGAAGTAAGAATAGCATTTAGTGTAATGGGTGCAATTGTTGATACTAGAATAAAGAAAGAAATTATATCATTTATTATTGATGAAAAACCATTAAGCAGATGCCAATTACCATTACAAAATGCTTTTGCACTTATAATGCATAAAACAAAAAGATTAACTTTACCAGAAGTATCTTTATATCTTGATAATCAAATATTTTCTGCTGGACAAGTTATGTGACATTGAGTTGATGTTTAGATTGGTCTAAAAGTAACTATCCTTCAGCTTTTATTACAGACAATTTGATGATTGAAGATATAAACGCTTAGAATAAATGTTTTGCCTCTATAAATATGCTAATTTTAAAAATTTTCAATGTTTATTTATATAAATTATAATTTAGCTAATTAATACAATTTTTTATATAAAAACAGACAGTTTATATATGTATTTCAAGTAATTATTTGTTCTTTTCATTTTATAAATAAAAGTTTCTTGCAAATTGCACTGCAATGATTAATAAGTTACGCAGGAACGAAGTTCTCACTATCTGCAATTTCTAGTTAGTATATATACATTGAAAAATTATATTATTTAAAGACAAAATAGAGTCTGATCATTAAAAAGTCTTGGTAGACTTACAGATTTTCAAATAATAAAAATATCTTTACACACTTTCAAACCTTCCTCTTGTCTCCACATAGGCTCCACTTGTGATAACCAACTTACACAATTGAATAATAATAAAAATAAAGTTATTATTCTAGAATACCGTATTGCATTGCATATATCGTTGATTACCTTGGTTTCGATAAAGTTCCAGGGAAACACCGGTTACCATGAGTTGAATTTTAATGTAAATAAATTTAAAAAAGTATTTAATATTGTAAAAATAACTGCTTCTGCTACCATGATATATTTTTAAAAAAATATATAAATGTTAAAATTATCAAATTTAGTGCCCAGCCTTAAATATTCTTATTCTTAACCTCTGAGGCAAATTACTATAAACTCAAAATATTTTTTTATTTGAGTTTTGACTAAAACTACTAACTAATTTTTTTAAAAAAAATTTTCCTTAAAAATTTATGTTGAAACTTATCTGCCAATTTCATAGCCCAATAAAATTTTCCATCATCTTATATAGTTAAAATAACAAACTTTTGCTTTTTAAATTCCTATATTACATTCATTAAATAATTTAAGATTCACAAGTTTATAACAGAATCATTACGAATATAGATGGTATTGCGTATTTCTTTTAGTCTTTTGGATCTTCATTCAGCATAAACATTGTCTTTAACGGTTCTTTTATGAATTATTCGGAAATGATGTTATTAACCTATATCTTATTTAAACACATCATAGGTCTCATATGCAATATTATACAAGCATATATAAGATAACTCAAATTGTAATTCTGATTTTATAGTTTGCGGTATAACAAATACTGAATACTCTAATTAATATTTCCAAAGCTACTGAAACTGAAATAAAAATCATATGAACAAAATAAATTTTTTAAAACTAATCTATACTAATTTATTTTTTTACAAAAATAGAATAAATAGCTGTAGCAATTTTTCATTGATTAGGATATAACAGAAATTATGATGTAAAGCTAGTTCAATTTCGTATAACATCATAGAAAGATATGACAGGTTGTTTAATTATTCACATTTGGAATCAATTCATCGCGTTGATTAATCTCAATTAATATTCACTATAGGCCTGTGTTAAAGTAAATACAATTTAAGTAAATATTAAAATTTAGATAAATATTAGTTTCCTATTTTCGTATGTAAAGTCAATTGTTGGTACACTTCATGAAAGTATCATCATTAATAAAGTTATATAAATCAAAAATAAGTTTCAAGTTAAAAAATATATTTTTTTCATTTAGAACCTTCAACTTCTTTGAGTGAACATAATTTAGTAGTTTACGTAGTTTTAGCTAACATCAAAAAAATTTGAAAATTAAATTATTTTTTTATAAAATGTCAATGGATATCCGCAAATCCGTGAAAACTTCCGAATACTAAAATATAATAATAATTATTATTTTATATTCGAAAAAAAGTATTTTTATTTTAGCAAGTAAATAGGAATTTTTATTTTTTTTAAAAAAGAAAAAATTGAAAAAGTTAATTTAAAAAAAAAGATGTCCATAATTCACAAGTATCATCATAAGTGTATTAATAGTAGAAGACTTTAACACCAAAGGAGACGAAGAAAAAATTTAGATTATGATTTATATTTTATAGTTATTTGAATTTGTGTCCTTCAATAACATTCGATTGGGATTATTCCATTAATGATTATACAATGTTCTAAATAAAAATAAAATTTTACTTATTTCTTTAAATTAAAAAACTAACAAAAATAATTCAAATTTAAACGGAAATTCTTATTTCCAGTGAATTTAATCATGATTAGAATTTAAAATAATATCAATTTTTCTTTGTTGTTGTTCATCAAGAATTTTATATAATGGTATGATATCATCTAATTCAATAATTTCCAAATCATTTAAATCTTGTATCAAATTCAATAATTCATTTTTTTCAATAATCTTTCCTTGCTGATTTAACAGATATGGAACATTATTTAAATATGGTTCTAAAGATTCAACTACCGGTGATTTTAAATCTATTTTACCAGAAGTAGCATTTGGTATATTCCTTTTGAAAATCCTTCCCAAAATAATTTTTTGAGCAAAAAAATGACCGTATTCTTCAAATACACCTTGTAAAGCTTTGAATGATTTAGTACTTTCAAATGCATCATTTATAGCTTGTACAAATTCTATTGAAGGTTTAACATGATCCCTATTCATAAGAATTTCATATTTTTCAAGTTTAACGAGAAAACTATATTCATCGTAAATTGAATCATCATCAGACTCGATCATCTTATCAATAAAGGAAAATAGGCTTAAATCTTTAATTGAAATGATATTATTGATTATCAATTCTTTTTCCAATTTGGTTGTTGGTTTGATTACTTCCAAATAAGATTTATTACTTAATTCTATATTGGGTATTTTGACGAAATTAACCGCAAATTTTTTGCTCGTTTCCAATTTATATGATTTATTAACCACTAGACATTGAGGAATATCTTTAATCCGCCTTAATAAACTACCATCCATAACATTTCCAGACCACGCTTCAAAACTTAATTTCTCCTTAAAATTAGCAACTCCAGGTTGTTTTTCTATTGGAGCTCTAAAATTAATATCTGAAAGTTCGTTGTGTTTTAATTGAGAAATAAGAATGAGATTATCATAAGAAATTATATCAAATTTGTTATTTTGATATAAATCTCTCATCCAATCGGCCAATTTTACATGTGTATCTAGTTTTTTTCCATCCAATGTTTCTATACTTAGAAAGTGAAAAACTGAAAAGTTATTGAGAGGAGAAAAAGTGTTATAATATTTAGCTAAATTATAAACACAGGATAAATAAAATTTTACGATATCAATTTGTGTTGGTGTAGCTGATCTAAATCCTTTGATAAATAATTTACCACCAACTAAAACTTTTCTTGCAAAAAGATGACCAAACAACTCGTTTAAATTTTCGTCGTCATTCTCAAAAGATTCCAACAAATTAGCATTATACGTAATTTCAGCGATCGAAAAGTTAATACATGCATCAGATGGTTGCAAACCTTTACTAAAATCATTTTTGTCAGAATCATAATTAAGAAGGTTCATTGTAGAGTCTGCATCATTTATATTTGTATATACTATAGGCTGCTCATTATAGGGACTTATATTCAATTTACCATCACCCTTAAAAATTGCCTTTTTGCTTGGTTTTATGTCATACTCATTCAAGAACAAACCATGATTCAATTTCAGCTGTTGAATTATTTGCTGTTCAGTGCTTAGTTCACTGTGTTTATTTGGTTCCTCATTAACTGTACGTGTTTATATATAATAAATAAAGATTAGTCTTCATGTAAATAATAAAAAAATGATATCTTTCACATACCTGGTTCTGGGAAAGGCTTCTCGTTTGATTCGGTATCATCAAGATGATCTCCATCCTTTGTTGTGCCATGGTCTTCGGTAATTTTTTCTGGTATTGCAAACGAGCCATTTTGAGTTTTGGTGACTTTATCGACCTAAAATTCATAAATTAAATTATAAGTATGTAAATAAAAGTATAACGTCAATTTATTTTTCAGTAGAATAATTACTAACCTCTTCTACGGTTACAGATTCTTTCATCGTTTCGATGACTACTACTTTTTTGGCTTTTTCTTTAACTACTTTCTTCGTTGCATGTTCAACTTGTTCAATTACAATATGATCGGTACATGCTAATAATTCTTCTTCCAATTTATTGTCCTTTATCTCAGTGCTTAAATATGCCTTTGCCTTTTCATATTTTTGATTTCCTTCTGGTAATGAATCGGTTAAGTAAAGGAAAGTTTCCCATGCACTTTGTGGAATGCTTTTTAATTTTTTACAAATACCGTAAGATTGAACCGTATTTTACATGTTATCAGAAGAGATATCAATATGCTTAAAAACTTTTTCCTCCAATTTAATTGAGCCATCGGATTTTTGAGGTGAACCAAACTTTTTAGTGGAATCGGAAGCTATCAATGGTGATTCAATAATTTTTATTTTTTAGAATCCGCTTATTAAATTTTTTTCTTTTTTTTAAAAAAAAAAACTAAATATAAAAGATTACATTACAAACATACCATTAACACCGAGACTAATTTTTTGATTTTCACTTTCCCATTTAGAGATTTTAAAGTATTCAATTACAAATTTATTGGCCAAAATATATAATCGTTCTTCATTTTCAGAATTGTTGACAGTTTTGCTCAAATAAGTTTCGGTTTTTGTATAAACTGTATTCCATTCTCGCATATGAGTCCATAATAAAGCTTTAAGGAATGCTATACGAAATTAATTTTCAAGAGATAATCATTAGGTTTATTAATTGAATCAGGTAATTTATTTAAATCAATCGTGAAGTTACCTGTAATTAAAGACGAACACCAAACATCGACATGAAGTTTTTTAACTATTTTATCTTTATGTGCATAAGCGACAAATGATTTTTTCAGATATTTTTGGAAGAAAAATTAAATAATTTTGCTACATCATCAGTTAATTCAAAACAACCATCTTGACGTTGATAATTAATCAAAAGATATAAATGATTGATAGTGATGGTACTTTTAGAAATAGGAGTTGTAGATTCGGATTTATATTCGAAAAAGGAATAAAAATCAGCAGTAAAATGAAGCTTTCCACTACTAGATCCATTTAATGTCAAATCACATTTAAGATCTAAATGCTTTCCTTTAATGGTCCCATCACGAACCTCCATAAAGTCCATGATATCGAGAACATAATACCCCAAAAGTTTATGTTTGGAGAAAGCATTAGAATTATAAACTTCCAACAAAAAGAATTGATCATTAAGATCATTAATTGGTATGTAAAATACTTGTTTCCATACTGGTTTGATTGATTTATAAACCACACGAGTTTTGTCATATTCCACACCAGTAAATACACTGATAATTTTTACATAAGAATCAGGGATTCCGTTATCTAACCACATGTCGGTAGATATGAAATTTTTAGCTCCGATAAGATTAATTCGGGCAATACCAAAATATTTTTTAGCTAAATTTAAATGAAAAATAAAAGTAAGCAAATACTTTAAGGAATCCCCCCTAAAAATATTTGGTGAAGTAAATGATTATTTACCAGTATCTTGCAAAGCACCCTCATCAAGCCACTGACCATCCAAATCAATTTGTTGTAGGTTTTTACTAATATTTTTTTAACCGAAATTGTAAAAAAAAGATTTTTTGTGAGACGAAAAAATTCTAGTATTCAGCTACTATAAAATAAAAAGGTTTTAAAAACTTTAATAATAAAATAATACCTGATATATGGATTAAAGTATATACATTCGATATCGTCATGTATTGATATTTTGGTAGATTTTTCATTACAAATAGCACAAGGTTTATGTTTATTGCAGCTACATCTAACATATTCCAACTTAATTTGCTTATATCTTTGATTCAAAAACATGGGGTTATAATTATTGCTTTCTGATAGGTGCAAACTAACATATTTTGGATTTGGAAATTTTGGAGTAAGTTCTTCAATATCGACAAATGGACTT